ATATATTTCATGTTATCTGTTATATTTATATTTGATATTTTTACAGAAAGTGATATTGATTAGCAAAAATGCACAGAAATATAGACACTTAATGTAGATGGTGTCTGAGAAAGAACCACGCTCGAAGCATATTGCAGTCCAGAGTAGTTGATTAGTTGTTATGACTTTTGTACTTTTAATTGATTTAGGATTGTTAATTTTACTGAAGTAAAAGATCTTCCACCACTGCTTATCATATTTATCAGTCCTCCAACAGACAAACTCAAACTGGTTAAAAAGGCTTTATTGCAGATTTTTCAGGGGAACTGTATCTCAGAACTTAAACATTAGAAGACAGAACAAAAAATGTAAATTTTACATTTTTCACCCAGAGTCGCAGAGAGACTTATCTCCTTATGTTTGTGTTAATTTGTCACTTATTCTCTTTTTCACTAAAGAAAATGGTGGTTGTACCCCTCCATCGCGTCTGTCCACTCATCACCGTGTTCCAACTGGGTTTATTACATCTGGCCCATGGGGGGGCATATTATGGACAAAAACAGCCACCTCAACCGCACCAGCCCCTGCCACAGTACAGTGATGGATATCAACAACAGTTTTTGGGGAACGATATGCCACTGTTGCCGTTACTGCCTCCTCAGCTGCCTTTGCCAATGGCCAAAGAGAGAGTATTGATAGAGGGCAAAGGTGAGGTCAAATACTTTGTGGAAAATTCCTTTATCTACTTTATATTCTTATATTTCATGTAATAAAAAGACAATATTATTCAAATTAACACCACCTATTTTGAACATTTAAAACACTGTTTACACACACACTATAAAAGATGTAATGATGAGATTGCTGACTGAGGTACTTTTTGTGAGATTAATTTAGGAGGCTGACATTGGCAAAATTAATTCAAGAGCCCAACTTAGTCATCTGTTTCCAAATTCTTTCAGTAATAGCCTTTAGCTCAAGCTGTAACTGAAATCAGTAACTAGTATTTTTCTTAAATGTTTATGTAAATCCATCAATGACCTTGATTAGGAAACTTGATGTCATAAATGAATGATATCGGATCATATTGGTACCATTTGTTCATTGTTAACTGATTTCACATGCATCTACTGTTTCTTTCCCATATTTTCCAGGACAAACATTCCCCAGAGGGGCTAAAGGCCCACCTCCTCCTATTCCTGGTGGAGAAGTTCCTCAAGGAATTCAGGGCCCCCCGGGACCAAAAGGACTGCCAGGACCACAAGGGCCCCCTGGCGTACCAGGCCAGGGATTACCAGGGATACCGGGAAAGCCAGGGCCTCCTGGTCCTCAAGGCTATCCAGGGATAGCCAAACCTGGCATTCCAGGATTGCCAGGAAAACCCGGAGGGCCTGGATTACCAGGGCAAAAAGGTGACCTTGGTCCTAGTGGTGGTGGAGGACTAATTGGCCTTCCGGGGCCTGCAGGGCTCCCAGGTCCCCCTGGGCTCCCTGGGATTTCAAAACCAGGAAGCCAGGGGCTGCCAGGACCACTGGGTCCTCAAGGGGAGCCTGGTCAAAAAGGTCTGCCTGGCCTTCCTGGTCTTCCAGGTCCCAAGGGAGACAAAGGGTTTGGTCGGACAGGTAGGCATTCCCGGCATTAGTAAACCTGGTCTAAACGGTCTCCCTGGACAACCAGGAATACCTGGAAAACCCGGTCCTTCTGGAGAGCCAGGCCTGACAGGGGCACCCGGTGAAAGAGGCCAACCAGGATTACCAGGCTTACATGGAATTGGAAAACCAGGAAAAGATGGTTTTAGAGGGCAACCAGGGCTCCCTGGAGGAAAAGGAGAACCAGGCCCTCCTGGTTTACCAGGGGGTCCAGGTTTGCCAGGTTATGGTAAACCAGGTTTTTCAGGACCTAAGGGTCACAAGGGACATGCTGGTCTTCCTGGACCTCCAGGCCCTAAAGGTGATAAAGGACATGAAGGTCTTCCAGGGGTCATTGGCCCCATGGGTGCTAGTGGTATGCCTGGGCCACCAGGTCCAATAGGTCTTCCTGGTAGTCTTGGCTTCCCAGGGCATAAGGGAGAGGATGGTGCTGGGGGACCAAGAGGGAATCCAGGAATAAAGGGTGAATTAGGGCTTCCAGGTCTTTCAGGACAGCCAGGAAGACCAGGAGAAGATGGACAACCAGGACCGAGAGGTTTACAAGGGCCCAGTGGCCCTAAAGGAGAATCCGGTAATAGGGGTTTACCTGGTGTCCCGGGTGCTGCAGGATTACCGGGACCAAGAGGAGAAGGAGGACAGCCTGGAGAGATAGGCTACCAGGGACCACAGGGAATTCCAGGGCTTACAGGACCAGGAGGACCAATCGGACCTCCTGGGATGCCAGGGCAAAAAGGTGAAACAGGCTTGCCTGGTAAACCTGGAAACTCTGTTGAGGGAAAGCCAGGACCACCTGGTCATATTGGTCCTCAAGGTAACCCAGGCCCCAGTGGCCCTCCTGGACATCCAGGGCAACCAGGGCGACCTGGGCCTCCCGGTCCTCCGGGACTACCTCCTGCATCTCCTGAACTCGTACAGATCCTGCCAGCAACCGGCCCATACGGCGGCCAAAAACAAAGTTTCAAGAAGACAAAAAATGGAGGTGAGATTGGTGGAAATGCCCTGGAGCTGCCTGCATTCACAGCTAAGCTCACAAATCCATTCCCTCCTGTTGGCTATCCTGTAATTTTTGACAAACTCCTCCACAATGGCAATCAGAACTACAATCCCCAAACCGGCATCTTCACCTGTACCCTACCTGGAATCTACTACTTTGTTTACCATGTCCACTGCAAGGGAGGTAATGTGTGGGTGGCACTGATGAAGAACAATGAGCCAGTAATGTACACTTACGATGAGTACAAAAAGGGCTTGCTGGATCAGGCTTCAGGGAGCGCCGTACTACCATTACGACGAGGAGACAGCGTGCATATACAGCTGCCGTCTGACCAGGCAGCAGGACTTTATGCCAGTCAATATGTTCACTCTACATTTTCTGGATGCTTATTGTACCCAATGTAAGAACTAGGTATCAGCAAAGGTGCACATTGCACATTGCTGGCAAATTTTACCATACTGATAGTTAAACTACTTCAGGCACAAAGGTACAATGTAGGTAAAATTATTTGTAGTAGCAACATTATTATTATTTGCATCATATGCACCACATCTGTATTCACATCAGCGGAGTATCAGAAAGGGCAGTTATGAAATAATGGGCAAAGTATGTATATTGTTTAAACCAAGTGATTAGCACCTGTGAAGTTTCCTCTGAAGGTTTGTGGTTGTGGAGTGTCAAGAAATACTGCCAGATATGTCAGTTGTTATAATTCTTGTTTACATTGTGTATTCATTCTTATATCCATCCACATGCAATATACAGTATATGTGTTCATGACATGGCTGAAATAATTCCTGGAACAATAAGGCTTTATGTTGCAGAGCTGTATTCATTTTTAACTCATTCTTTGTTATAGTTACAGTTATATACTGTATTCTGGGAAAATCAGAAAATATTGGTGTCATTTTGCAATGCATTTATTCAAAGTTATGGAAATGCATAACTGGATTATATATTTGGGGTCATGATAAAGTGATTAAGTTATTGTTAGTCTTTTTTAATGCAAAATACATTAATCTCATAGTAAAATAAGCATTGGTTGAGCATTTTATAAGTTCATACCACATCTCAATCCAGAAAAGAAAAGAAACCTTTTTGCCACCCACAATTTGGCAGGTGAACCATCTTTTATGTCCTAATGGACATTTGATGTCATGATGACATTTCTATTGTTTGTAATAATCAGTATTGCATGTAATGTATGTGTGACTACTGATTATTTGGGATTGTTTTTGGAATTCATTCCTGAATTCAGAACACAGCATACAGTTCTCTGGTAAAAATAACACAAGTATTTAAGAATACTCATTCATGTATGTGTCAATATTTTACTTTTTCATTTTTAGTACAAGATGTGCTGTTTTGGAATGAGTTTTTAAGTGTTTTTCTTCCTGTTTCTTCTTGTTTTTATTTTGGACAGTGATGCACAGCAAAAGCAAATTAAAAACTGTGCCCGATTATGTGAATGTTGCTTTTATTAATGAGGTCTTACAAAGGAAACAACATTAGTCTCAGCTTGTTTTTCATTATCTTCAGACTGGCACCTTCATTTACTGTATATGTGTATGCTGCATGTAATGACAATATCCAGAGGTTAGGGAATCAATCAGGATGCACAAGTGATATTTAACAGACTGAGGAACTGACACACTAATCTTAACAGCACACACATCATCATGGGAAAGCATCCAAGGGATTACTGTGGCTAGTGCCACGAAATGATAAAGTACCTACCTACCTACAGTGGAACATAGTATAACAGTGCGCAGAAGAAGATATGGGCTACAGAAAAAAGGAGAGAGGATCACACAGTTGCAGAGAACGGGATTAATAGAAAGCAGTATTAACACTATAACTAAACATGGGGGCAATACAGAGGGCAGAAAAGCAATCGTTTTTTTAGAGGGACTGGACTATACAAACGACTGTACAGGGTAAGGACATTGAGGTCTAACGCCAACAGGTGGCAGTAATGTACCATCTAGGATGCCAGCTGCCGTAAATCCCAACAAAAGAAGAGAAAGAAACGCGTCTGACCAATCACAGGTTGAAATGTCATACTTCCCGTTTTTCTTCCTTGTATGACTGTTTAGCTTGATATTCAGCTGCTGTTACTCTTAGCCAGTGTTTTTGATATTTTAAGTTTTGTTGTTTGTTTGTTTGTTTTTCATGAACACCGGTACCTAAAAAGTAAGTGCTATGATTAATTTCTCATAAGTATTACTACGTAGTGGGGTGGAAATTTTGCTGAACTCTTAGCTAAAGTAAAACCAATTGTGTGACCCACGGTAGCCAGCTATCAGTTAGCAAGTAGCTAGCATTTGTTTGTTAGCTCAGTTGCTTTATGTTGTTTGCGAGCCCTTAAAGTTTAGATGTCAATACGAATAATGAGATTTCGGGTGCTTGTACATATATTTAATATGGTGTGCTATTTGAGCTGTCTGGATGCGCATAGCTTTAATCAAGGCAATTGCTAAATGCTATCCAACCTAACAGCAGCTAGTGTAACTAACCCTGTTAGAGACTGTTACATTTGTGATATAGGTTAGGCTACTGTTATTTGCGAACTGTAAGCTTCGCTTTATAGGGTAAATATCTGCTGTGTCAATAAAGCATGAACCTTAATACAACCCAGTGCTGTTCTTTGCAAGCCCGCAGAGGCTAGTGATATTATTCCGCTTCCACGTTGGCGATTTTATGAACAAGAACAAACTAATTTTTAGCAACAAATGTTTTGATATAACGGTGTAATGCTTAAAATATAACTACATGCACTCACAAGCCAACAGATGCATTTAAATCGGCGCAAGCAGTCCATCTTGATATTTAAGTTCATTTTTATTGAGTTTGACATTATCTGTTGTCCAGTGTTTCACTCAGTCCATTAAAATCCTTCACCATCCTAAGGGAGCTGGACAGTGTTGATAAATCTGCAGTCTCTGAGTCTGAGATGTGCCGTTGTTGTGTTTACAACAGTTAAGCTAGATGAAATAATGGTACCTACTCAGTTTGTCAAGCTCATCACCACTATCATCTCTTAAGAGATTCAGATCTCCCATGTGCTGATGTGTGAAGAGTGGGCAGCAGAGTCTTACTTAGTTTCACTTGCAGATATCCAGTATGGCTTCTCAAGCGGGGCCGAGAGCAGCAGGCACAGATGGCAGTGACTTTCAGCACCGGGAGCAGGTTGCTTCTCATTACCAGATGAGGTAGGTTCTTCTACCATTACTATTTTGATGAGAAAAATCAGAATGTGTATGTTAACACCACTCTACTCCATCATACCCTAAACACTGTATTAAAGGTGAGATATAGCAAACCACATGGGTACCACTCTCTGTGAAGGCACTATGTATAAATTATGTATGAGCTGTATTTAATGGCTTCATTGAAGGTTAAAGTGGCAATTTTCAAAGTGTGAGGGTGCACCAGAGGATTTCAGGCGATGCAAAGCCTGAGAAAAGGTAAAGCAGATAAATAATAATTATAAAACATCAAACTTCAGCTCCGCTACACATGGGGTACAATGGATCGATTAGTATTTCACTGAGAAAGGAGACAGTCTGGTTTGAGCAGAAAATGGAGTAAGTATGATGACGATTATTTAAAGTTTGGGTTTTCATGGACTGGTTCTGATGATGCTCCACTGCCAAAGTGCTATTTGTAAAGTGGTGCTTGCTAATGACAGTATGACACAATGTAAGCAAGTTTGGTCATCAAGACCAAAACTCCTTCCTCCTTCCTCTTTTTATAGGAAACTAGAGGATTCCAGGTCACAGTACAAAGTAATTGAGACATTAGCACTGTGAATACTGATGCGAGGGAAGCATCATATCATTTTACATTACACACAAGGCAAGTATATGGAATATGCACAATTTGGAGACAGTGATATGAAAAGCAGCACTGTGCCTGGTGTGCAGTGATGATTTGATTTGGTAGCGACTGAGTTTGATGTGTTCAGAAAGCATATGACTTGAGTAAAACTACACACGTCTCGCCTCCCCACACTGGGTTAAAGCACAAGTTATTGAGCTTTATAGATCAGTTGTAAGCCATTAATAAGGATAAGGATAATAATCACCTTTATTTGGCCAAGTATCTTACACACAAGGGATTTGTTTCCAATACAGGGCTGGAAACAAATAATAAGAAATACTTGTCAGAGTTGCCAGATTGTGGAACACAAGTTGATTGGAGGGTACTGCTTAATGAATTAATAAGTCAAAAACAGAAGCAAGGTAGTGCTGAAGATAAGGCATAAATAAACAATTCATATGACTACTAGTTATGCATTTATTTACAATTTAAACTGTGCCTTATCAGAAAGCGGTACCCAGTTCTGTAGCTTGATTCATTATCTCTTCAGTCAAAACCATGAGTTCATAATATAGACAAAACACTCTGGAGAACTAAAATACACTGTGTGTTTTCCTTTGCTTTTTCTATTTGATATTGACAAACTTCATGAAGATATATCAGCCATTTGGTTTTATTGGAAAGGAATAATTTCATCAAGTGTGTTCAGCAGAATTTTTGTGATCAACACATCAGTGACTTGACTTTTTGTATGTGTGTCTTATTCTGCACAGTGTCGCCTTGAAGTCTGAAATCCGTAAACTCAACACCGTCCATCTTCTGATCTGGGTACTAATGACGGCTCAGGTAATGACAACCCTGGAGAAACTGACACAAACCATGAAAAAAGCACTGGTTTTATTCATTGATAGCTGTAGCAGTTTCTGTTGCCTTTTCTCTCAGGTGACAGTGAGTCAGCTGAGCCTAGTGTCCCACAAGATAGTGGCCTCTCCATACCAGTGGGAGTTCCCTTACCTTCTGAGCATAATTCCTACAATCTTCAGCTTCTTGGCATTACCTCGCAACAACATTGGGTACCTGGTAATCTCTATGATCAGTGCGGGGCTATTTTGCGTGGCCCCGCTGATCTACGGCGGTATGGAGATGTTTCCTGTGGCACAGCAGCTCTATCGGCACGGCAAAGCGTACCGCTTTATCTTTGGCTTCTCTGCCGTGACGGTCATGTACCTGGTGATCGTCATTGCCATACAGGTGCACGGCTGGCAGATTTACTACAGCAAGAAGCTGCTGGACCAATGGTTTATCACCACGCAGGAGAAGAAGAAGAAATGAGGTCACTGAAAGCATGCCTAGTGCTGAGATGTTCTATCTTGTAGGCTTGTGGGATCCTAGAGCTGAGATGTTTTTTTTGTTTGTTTGTTTTGTTTTTGAAACCCAGCCATTGATTTGTTGCAGTGAGCTAGTGAAGACAAAGAGAAGAGGCTCCCAGATGTAATGTCATCAACCTTTCTATGTTTATATTTGATTATTGTTCAGCTGTTTGCAGAAAACCTGTCCTTAGACAACTGGTGAGTGCTGCCATCATTCTGCACCTTAATCCATCATATATTTGTTAAGCTGTATGTACATTTTATTACAAACATGTGACTGAACAGACACCAAAATATGTTAAATATTTCTAAATCTCATGTAGTGTACCTATATGGTATAAATGTTATAACTATATAGAATAGCATTTAACTTTCATTATAGCAAATCAGTTCAGTCAAAAGGTGATATCAACCTGCTCAACTCAAACTGAATTAATTTATAATTGTATAATGTGCAGAAATGTGCTAGAATTGTTAAGTGAAACCTATTGGTTTTTCACTGTTTTTGGACACTGGTGGCATTTTTGTGTTTTTACATAAGGAATCCCTGTTTTTCAGAAGTAGTAAGTCCTTATTAAAGTATTTCCTCAATAGCTTTGGCTCCAAAATCTATACAGTTCTCAGAGATTATCATGTGTTTGTCCAAACAGTTTAAACATATACCACAACTCTATAGTTCATCAGCAAAAGGATATACTGTGTTACAAAAATAAATGTCAACCCTGTCAAAATGAAATGTTCCGTTAGCACCGCGTAAGTCAAAGTTCTCAAAATGATCAACTGTTTTGTCAGAACAATGGAACACTTACGTTTGAAGTAATGTGAGAAAACAATTTTATTGTCCTGGAATATGTGAAATCCATACAGTATAAGTGAGAAATAAAACACTGGCACAGCACAGTATAGTCTATCACTGTTTTGTACAGTAGTGTTTAACCAAAAATATGTACAGTACTGTGAACAGAAAATATCCTGCAAATGTGTATGGTACAATGACACAAAATTATAGTATAATTTACAGTGCACCTGTATGTTTGGCCACAGGTTTTCCTCTACCTCACACCTGATGTTCTCCCTGGTGACACAGCGAGGTAAGATTTGTCCAGAGTGTGGCATCTATCCCCCGGGTGTAGTATTGTTGCTGATGAGAACAATTAGACACTCAGATATGAATACCTTTCATAGAGATAATGCAATTCAAAGTGCTTTACAGATGACTGGCAAAAGACAAAGTAGATGTGAACATTAATAAAAGTAAAACTTTAAAGAACAGTTTAACCAGTGCAATTTAAAGACTGTACTCCCCAAATATTACCAACATGTGAACGTTCCCACTCGGCGCAAGAACACTCTGGATCATGTTTACAGTAACATACGTGGTGCATACAGGGCTGCACCCCGCCCCCACCTTGGGCGCTCGCCACATTTCTTTGTTCC